ACCGCCGCCAAGCCCACCACCACCTCCGACGCCTCCGCCGCCGCCTCCCCCTCCACCTAAACCACCACCTTTACCAAAACCACCCCCTAACCATCCACCCTTTCCCCCAAAAAGAAACTTCTCGTCACGATCACCTTCGACGCTTACTAGCTCCCTCCCGAAAACATCAAAAGCACTCAAGCACAATAATGCTACGAGGAAAATCGGCCTACTATGACCCATGTTGGTAAAATTTTTGTTTTGGAACGAAGAATTAGCGAGAGTGAGTGAGTTCTTATATAGACAAAATCGCATTAAATGAACTCCAACTGTGCGCGGTTCATCAGTCTGAAAAATAATAATGCAAGCTAATATTACGTTGTGGTGGGTATTGATTAAATGAGCTATGAGATATCGCGGCAGTTGGGGGTGGGATTTAAAGAGAAGAGATGGAAACGGATCAAATATTAGGGTGCAATTAATTGGATTGTTTGCTATTAATTTGGGGCTGATGGGTGAATTAATGTTGCAAGTAATTTGGTGTATATCTACTATTTCGGCGATATGATGCTTGTTCACATGAATGATGCTCTCCTCAGGCAAAATTAGCTTCACGCGATACGGTGCTGTTACGTGATGCCGTAGCCTTTGCATTAAAATGGCCATCTTATTTTTGAACAGCAAGTTCAACAGGATGAGTGCTATATCGATCCCCTTCAATCTTCACAATTAAATGAAGAAAAATGTATTTAGGGTGTTACGTCTAGACTGATGCATCTCTATGTCTACTAGTCTAAGACTAGTCAATGTGTATGCAGGAACTTTTGTTGTGGTAGTGGAAAGGATCCGAATCCACTTATTTTTTCTTAAGTTAAAACATGAAATAGCAAATCGTATGCATGTTAAGCATCCAAATTTTAATGCGTACACACGAAAACTAAACCAATAGCACTAGAAAAATTTAGGGATTAATTGAACTTGGGGGGTTTTGCACTTGCACATGTTACACGCCTATGCGGAAGCGTACTCACACACCGAACAAATCTGTGATCACGGGAGAAGAGAACCAACCACACACGAGCACAATTCAAACCAAATACTGTGATCACGGGAGAAGAGAACCAACCACACACGAGCACAATTCAAACCAAATACGACAAATCAAACCAAACACAGAGATATACGTGGTTCGCACACGAGCACAATTCAAACCAAATACGACAAATCAAACCAAACACAGAGATATACGTGGTTCGACAATTGCCTATATCCATGGGGAGAGTGTTTTCAGCGAAAGTTGTTTCCATTGCAGATTCCATTAAAACTTCGATCGTTTACAAAGAATTAC